TTTTTTTTGTACAGTCTGTGAGTTAGGGCTATGATTTTCAAGTGGTGTGCTGCAAGAATTTTTAGAACACGTGATACCTGACTATTTAGTCAGGGATGCTGACCTCTTTTCCCTTAGATTGTCAAATTGAAAAAAACAACAACAGCCAACACTACAATAGCAGTCCAGTGTGAATGAATCAAAAGTTTAGATATTTTTTGTCATATCTGAAAAATATATTTTTTTGGTGTGCCACAGAATTTTAGGAATTGTTTTATATGTGCCATGAGATTAAAGAGATTGAAAAATTGCTGTCCTAGGTGGGCAGCTCAGTGCAAGGCAGCAGGTCTATATCAGAGGAGCCCCATGTGGTTCTCATTCTGAGAGAAGTAGCTACATGAAGCGAATCTTACCATAGTGAATGGCAGGAACACAAGTAGACAAGAAAAACCTTGCAAGTTCACTGAGGCCTCTTTTAAATTTCCACTGTCCAATGGGGTAGAAATGTATATTCTACCCACAGTGTATCACGCTAAAAATGAAGAGTGATTGCCCTGACTGGTTTGGCTCAGTGGATAGAGCATCGGCCTGAGGACTGAAGGGTCCGGGGTTCGATTCCGGTCAAGGGCATGTACCTTGGTTGCAGGCATGTCCCCAGTAGGGGGTGTGTAGGAGGCAGCTTATTGATGTTTCTCTCTCATCAATGTTTCTAACTCTCTATCCCTCTCCCTCCCTCTCTGTAAAAAATCAATAAAATATATTTTTAAAAAATGAAGAGTGATAAAAGAATTATGGGGCGGGGCGGGGGGGGGAATGCAACCCATTTCACGGGTTGTCTCCAAGTTGTTGTACCCAGCTATTACACACTGTTAAATCACTCAGTAAGGAAATTATTTCTCCTAGGTTTTAGCTACAATATAATCTTATGTTATAAAAACATTTCCACTTAAGACGAAATACTAAATGAAACTTTAGTATGACAACAGTAACATTTAATAAAAGCAGTGTTCTAATTTCATGAAGAACTCTAAATCTTACATCAAGACATCTAAACACTCCTTGAGCCCTCAGCCAATAATATTTTGATATATATATATATATCAGTGATTTTCAGGGTGGATAAATAAATACTGAATCCAAAACTTCTGAGGAGTGTGAGATAACCAAGTAATTCAACCTCAGAAAAGCACCAAACTGCATAGAACTAAATATAAAAACATTGCCTAATGAATGGTGAAAAAGAAATATTTGGGTTGATACTAAATGAAAAATTTTCTTATTATTACCTAAATCATGTAATCCTCTAGAATTCATATTCTATAAAGTCCTCTTTTTAAATATATTTTATTGATTTTTTACATAGAGGAAGAGAGAAGGATAGAGAGTTAGAAACATTGATGAGAGATAAACATTGATCAGCTGCCTCCTGCACACCTCCTACTGGGGATGTGCCCGCAACCCAGGTACATGCC